TATGGTAGTGATAATAGAAGTATTTTGGTTGGAGAAATGTATGTATATATGTTTTGGTATGCAGGTAGATACCATACTTTTGGTAAAAACTCAAATGATTTGCAGCAATTGTCAGATGGACTGCATTGACAACAATTCAATTGAAACAAAATGCAAATGCCACAAATGTGAGAAGAAGAGCAATTATTAAAGGCAATCAAACATGTCATCACTCTAACTCAAGGCCTTTAAAAGGCCCAGTTGGAGGGCCAGATGCATTTTTTGGGGGGGAAGAGTGATATTCCAGGAAAAAAAAATCTTCATTAAGAATATGCTTCTATTCACTTTGTTATATGGAAATTGAAGCTCAGTATGTAAAGAGGAAAATAAGTTTGAATTCCAAAGTCCTTAGTTGATATGGGGTACCTAACAAAGCATGGTGGTGCAGTGGTTATAATGCAGTACTGCAGGCTACTTCTGCTAACTCCCAGCTGACTGCAATTTGACAGATCGAATCTCACCAGGCTCAAGGTTGACTCAGCCTTCCATGCTTCCGAGGTGGGTAAAATGAGGAGCCAGATTGTTGGAGGAAATATGCCGACTCTGTAAACCACTTAGAGGGGGCTGTAAAACACTATAAAGCGGTATATAAGTGCTATTGCTGACATTGGAAAAATGATCATATGGTTGTTTTAAAATTCTTTTTGCATTTCTTTTCTTTTAAATGCAACAGTTGTTATTCCTCTTTCACTTGAAAGGTTTAATTAGGAATCCTATTCAGTAGCTGTTAAATAGTTCATGAATAAAAGCAGTAGAACAACTATCTCAGCATAAACTAGCTAAATGCTGATTCACTTGGACTATATAATATACAGTATATTAAGGAGTTTTGATTAGAAGGCAAAAAGTTAATGATAGCAAGCAGGGATAAACGTTGTATCTGGAACCTTTTAAAATTATTGAATCTTATCCTGGTGACAACTGCCTAGTACCAATGACAACACAGCTGCCTGAAGAAGCTGCAAACAAGTATATCCTCACACACTCCAAACTATTATCTTATGAAACTGAAGATGTCAGTCCTTTGAGTTAAATCAGACTTGAATGCAAAAGTCATGAATACCAAAACTATTTTTATTATAGGGTTACAGCAACAGAATTTTGCAATTCTGAATGCGTCTCCTTCATCTCTCCTTGCCTTTATTCTAAAGAGAATAGGAAGAATCAAGTCAGAGATGCTTTCTCAAATCCCAATCTGTTTTGTGCTGAGATTTCTCTCATCTGATCATTGCCTTAACTGTTGCTCTTCTTCCTTTTCCTCAAGATTATCTCAGCCCATTACAAAAGCTCTGCATAGCTTAAATGTATGTATCTCATAATTTACAGTGAATTAAAGAACATTTTGTAATACATTTGAATTGTAGATGCACCTTCCCTACATTGATGTTTTTCACATATGTTGGGCTACAATTCCCATAATATCCAGCTAGCAAGATCTTGCACACAAAATGGTTCATCTTTTTTTCTCACAAATCTGCAAATTTCACAGATTAACAAAACAAATAAAATTAACAGTGAACCAATAGAATTAAATCTTTGTTCCAAAAAAGTATTAGAGATCTTAACTTACCTGCTCAGTAGCTGTTGGACAGTAAAATACTAATATTATGGTCGTGCAGATGTTTATTATCAGTCCAACAATTGTAATCAGGTTAGGGGCAATCCATGCTGGTACTCTTCGCACTAACCATTCCCAGTAACCTTGCATAAGTGGCTCAAGTAGGGACCGTCCAGCACTTTGATATTTGTGTTCTTCTAATCGTTTTAACTGATGCTTTGATAAAGGCGGTGTTGGCAACTGAAACAATTTGCTCAATGTACATCCTGTAGAAGGAACGTGACCATAGCGTGCAGGGGATTCCAGATGCAATTCCCCACATCGTTTCTTCAGTGATCGATTCCCACTCATGGATTTATTCACCTTAAAGTCTGTATCCGACAAAGTTTAATTGTTGTAAAGAAACATAAGATCCTGGAACAGAAAGTATTTAGATTAATATGTGAGGAAAAATATTGTAAAATTCTGAAGCGCTTAATGGTGAGAAGTACAATAGCTGAAAGTCCAGAATATCTGTAAATACATTAAACCAAGCTATAGTTGTACCAACTTTAATATTCCTTTTAAAAAAAGTAAATGCAACAGTCTAGTGAATATTGTACGGTTGTGACTGAGGAGACTAAAGAATGGTCATGGAGAATCAAAAGATACTATGAGAAACTCATTTTCTTTCAGCCCAACCAATCTTACAGGTTTGTTGTAAGAGTAAAATGAAAGGATATCACAACTAAGCTGTCTTGAGATCCTGGAGAAAAGTTATGATATAAATCTAAATAAGAATAATAGGTGTCTTGGGTGTAATTCCAAAACATCTAAAGCATAACTTGAACATTGTCAGCATTGATAAAATCCCCATAGGTCAATTGCAAAAAGCAGCTTTACTTGGAATAACTTACATCCTATAATAGTAGCTGTCAGGAATTCAGCAATCACTCTAATGAAATCATGATTCTTGAGCCAAACTTCAAAAAACTTCAAAGAATTCATTAGAGGTGACATGTCACCTGTAATGAATCCTTTGAAGTTTTTTTATGTTTGACTCGAGAATCATGATTTAATTAGAGCGATTGCTGGAATCCTGACATCAAGCCAATTCTGGCATACATAATTTACAGTCACCTGTGACCCTGTTTCCTCCCCCCCCCCC